ACATCTTTCTGATATTCTCTGCTTTCAGCCAAGATCCATCAGACATCAGCAATGATATCCCTCGTTCCACGGCCTCTTCTGAACCTGGTCTTCCTTTCAGGCATATGAATAGTATCCTATCACAGTCAGCACTGTACTTCAAGATTGATCATGAATGCAACGCCATTCATTCCTCTTTGATTTGTCATTTGCAGCATAGTAAACCATGTCATTGTCAGATTCAAAATGGCCTATACCAGTCCATTTCAGCTCATTAATGCCTAGGATATCAATGTTTATATGTTCCATTTCATTTTTTACAACCTCCAATTTTCCTAAATTCATACTTGGTACATTCCATGTTCTGACTATTAATGGTTATTCAGAGCTGCTTCTCTTCATTTTAAGTCGTGCCCCATCAGCAAATAAAGATCCTGAAGTCTTTACTCCATTTGCATCATCACGGTCAACTCTACTTTGAGGAGGCAGCTCTTCCCCAGTCTTGCTGTGAGTGACCTCCTGACCTGAGGGACTCACCTCCTGCCCTATATGTGACAATGGTCTAGTGCTCATCCATCATGTTTTGGTCTCCGATATTCTGGCTCTGACAGTGTTCCACTGCTAGTCATGAGGTTTTTAGTGAGTAAATATTCAGAATTAGTTTGTCAGAGACTAAGTTCTTCCTAGTCTGTCTTCGTCTGGAAGCTCATCTGAAACCTGTCTCCATGGGTGACCCTGCAGGTGTTTAAATACTGGCAGCAGAGATTCCAAAATCACAGCAACACGCAAGTCACTTGCAGGACGACAAACTGACAGATGAGTGGTGCAATTTAGGTTATCTTAAATTTTTTGTCCCTGATATCAGGATTAGGAACAATTAGGAACAAACATTTTAAGAATATCTTATTTTTAAAATAGCTAGTTCAAGTTACTTTGAAATGTTGGGTTTCAGATTGTTACAAACACCAAGATATGATGAAATGAAAGCATTTTATTAATTCTCTAAAATACAAAAATAACTCATAAGCACACATGTGAAAAAACAGAGCTCAAAAATAAAAACATTTCTAATTTAATAATACCATCTGGAGGCAAAGAATCATATTTTGTGAGCTACTGTTTTAAAGGCCTTATTATATACTGATCAAAGTAAATGATCCCTTTTTTCTATGTTGTTATTGTTAAGTGCTGTTGAGTCGGTTCTGATTCGTAGCAGCCCTGTACAGGGATTCTAAGGAGCGGCTGGTGAGTTTGAACCGCTGACCTTGTGGTTCAAACCAACCTTGCAGTCCAGAGCTTTATTGCTCAACGCCATGACCTGGATATTTAAAAGTGACAGAAAGCAGCTCCGGAAGCCACAGGACCCAGAATCGCCAGCCCCGGCCTCTGATGCCTCGTCCTTCTTCACAGACTGGGAACAGGAGGTGCAGAGGCCTCCGAGAGCCCCAGGCTGATGACCCTGTCCAGCCGGTCCCCAGCAGGACGACGACTCCCTAATCCTTTCCCCTCCTCTGCGCTCAGCCCTAGATGAGTCTGGTTGCCTGGGGCACATCCCCCGCACCTGCCCAGCCTGGCGTCCAGCTAGGCTCAGGTGCCATCCCGCTGAGGACCTTGGGGGTCCCACCTTACTGAGTTTTAGTTTCCTCGGCCAGGCGAGCCCAGGGGGGCACCAACAGAGTCTAGGTGTCCACGAGAGGGCATGGTCTCTGCGTCCTGGCAGCGGTGGGCTGAGCGACGGCAGCCCCCCCACCCCCTCGCAGGCCCGAAGCCCCGCCTCGACCCTCCGGCCCCGCCCCCCGCGCCGGCGCGCTTGGGCACGGTGGGGGCAGGCGCAGAGCACAGAGTCGCGGTGCAGGCGCACGAGGTTCAGGCACAAGCGGTGAGTCCTGGTTCTGGGCGCGGGGACAGGAGGGTGCGGCTGGAGTCGGAGGCGTTCGCAGAAAAAACAGAGAGGAGCCGAGGGGACGTGAGTTTTGCTCCCTCCCCCAACCCTTTCAGCTGACTCCAGGAATCTAGGGGCAGCCTCGCCCGGGAGCCCACCACCGAGCTCTAGGTCCTTGTGACCCCAACGTGGATCCCGACAGGAAGCGGCTCAGCATCTTGGGGTATCTGGCCAAAAGGGGCAAATTAACGCCCTTCGAGGGTTACAGATTACAGATCCACCCTAGAGCAAAAGGTGAAGCGCCCCATTTTCCCGGGATAATGTATGTAAATGAGGTGCCCGGCCGCTCCCTTACTTGGGGAGCAGGAGCTGCGCCCCCTGGCTTGCTGTCCTGTCTGTTTCCATTGCGGACTTTCCCAGGAGTGAGCTGCTAGGATTCCCTTTGGTCTCTCCAGTGTCACCTCAGCTGCATGTCTGTCTGGCCGGCCGCCGGGTTGGGAGCCTCACAGTCGTGTGGGCTCAGGGCTCTTGGCTGGAACCTTTTCGTAAAAACTGAAACCTAGGTCCTGAACGGAAGAGACTCTGCGGAGCCATCTGAGTTTGTTCTCGCCCACCCCTCTTTCGTACCAGTCCACCCCCGCTGCAGGCCCAGCCGGCTGCCCTGGCAGATCGCCCCAGCCTCCCACACCTTTCCATCTGGCCACAGTGAAAGCCCTGCTGGTTCGCTTCCAAGCCCTTGCCACCCAGTACCTAGGCCTCTGTCCAAGGGAGGGTCCTAGCCAGGCACACCACAGCCCCCATCCAAACACCCACAATCCCGGCCTTGCCCAGCCTGTCTCCCAGCCAGGGAATTTCCAAAGCTGGGGCTCAGCCAGAGTGGGACAGGCATTGTAAAGAGGGGTGTGGACTGGGGGAATTGTTAAGCCTCAGTGTCCCCTACTCATTGGACCCTGGCTCCTCATCTACAGGGCCATGGTTCTGTCTCCACTAAGGAGAATCAGGCCCTACCCCAGGACCCTGGCTGGTGTGTGTGTGTTTGGGATGGGGGGCAGCTGGTCCTGTTACCCCGACTGCCCCTCTGATGTACAGTGTCCTCCGGAGCAGGGCAGGCTTCCTGGCTTCCAGTCCCTCCAGAATGAAGGTCTTCCTGCCGATGCTTCTGGCTGCCCTCCTGGGTGTGGAACAAGGTGAGGTGCCCCTGGGCCTTTGCACAGACTGTGCTTATACCCCATATCCCCTCAGCTCCTCTTCTCCTGAGCAGATGCTCGGTGCACCTTCAAGGCCAACTCCATATAGTGACCTTCTTTGGGGTCATCCAGATCCCTTTTCCCCAGAAAAGGGGGTCAACTTCTTCCACCTCCCCACCCCCCCCACCCCCGGAGACCTCTGCCCCTTCAGCCCTAGTCGTCACCCTGGTTTGGTTGTGACTGTGGGCTCCCAGTTGGCTACACAGGGCCGGGCAATCCAGAGTCAATATATTTGTCAACAAATGCTGTCCCAGGGCCAGGTCCCTGTGGTTTCGGTGGGGACTGACAGCAAGGCTTTAAGCTGAATTCTTCTCCTCGAAGCCCACTCCCTGATGTGCTTCTCGTGCACGGATCAGCAGAGCAATCTATACTGCCTGACGCCAACCATCTGCTCCAGCTCGGACAACTACTGTGTCACTGTGGCCACTGAGGCTGGCATCGGTGAGTGGCGAGTGGCAGGCTCCCAGGTCGGTCAGGTCATCCCCGTCAGCCTGCAGTGAGACTGGTTCCCTCCTGACTGCCTCTCTCTTCTGCAGGGAACATGGTGAACTTCGGCCGGACCCTGAATAAAGGCTGCTCGCCCATCTGTCCTGGCCCCAGCGTTGACCTGGGTGTGTTGTCAGTGGGTACTCACTGCTGTCAGAATTTCCTGTGTAATATCAGTGCAGCTGGTGGTGGACCTCAGGTCAGCGCCACCGTGCTGGGCCTAGGGCTTCTGCTGAGCCTGCTGGCGGTACTGCTGTGGCCTAGCCACTAACCCCTAGTGGCAGATCCAAGTTTCCTCCAACTTCTGTCTACCTGGTCCCCAGGGTCAGGCCTCACCCTCATACCTGTCCCCCCCACACCCCCGAAGCTGGCTGCCCCACGCTCTGGAGAAACAATGTGGACTTCCTCGAGGCTCTAGAAAGATGAGGGTCTTCCTGTAGCCTGGGATGGAGATCCCAGGATTGGGGTTCCATCCTTTGGAGCTTGGAGGGGTACCTGGCATCCAGGCACTGTTCACGCTGGGCTGGGCGTGCTGGACACGGGGTTGTGAGTGTGCCTGTGTGTGTGCCTGCGTCAGGGTGAGCATGTTTATGATGGGCTGACCACATGCGCAGGTTTGTGTGTGTGTGTGCGCCTTGGGCAGGAATGGTGGGGAGGACTTCCACCTTCCAAATTTTCCCTGACGTCTTCACCCCTGCCATGTTTCCCTCACATCTAGTGGGGGGCAGATACTCCGACTGTTTCCAACCCGGGAGTCTGTCCCCAACAACTTGTCTACCTGCACCCTCGTGCCCCCCCCCCACTTGCTTCCTCTCTGCCTCAAATAAACATGTTTCAGTCCCTTCCTGCTCTGCTTACTACTCGGCCCACGCTGCCCAGGGCTCCACCCCATAGGACTAGTTGATGTGGGGCCCACTTCCTTGTGGGAGAAGAGAAGTGATCCAGCCCCACATTCAGTAGGTGTGGTGTCCTGCT